GTGGGGTTCCTGGTGTGCCCCCTCCCCGTTTTGGGGGTGCCCCTGTTCCTGGGGTGCCCCCTGACACGGCGGGGTGCCCACAGTGGGGTTCCTGGTGTGCCCCCTCCCCGTTTTGGGGGTGCCCCTGTTCCTGGGGTGCCCCCTGACACGGCGGGGTGCCCACAGTGGGGTTCCTGGTGTGCCCCCTCCCCGTTTTGGGGGTGCCCCTGTTCCCGTGCCCACCCCTGACTCAGTGGGTGCCTGCAGTGGGGTTCCTGGTGTGCCCCCTCCCCATTTTGGGGGTGCCCCCTGCCCGTTTTGGGGGTTCCCCATCCCTGTGGCCCCCCTGACACAGTGGGGTGCCCGCAGTGGGGTTCCTGGTGTGCCCCCTCCCCATTTCGGGGGTGCCCCTGTTCCCGTGCCCACCCCTGACTCAGTGGGTGCCCGCAGTGGGGTTCCCGGTGTGCCCCCTCCCCGTTTTGGGGGTGCCCCATCCCTGTGGCCCCCTGACGCGGCGGGGTGCCCACAGTGGGGTTCCTGGTGTGCCCCCTGCCCGTTTTGGGGGTGCCCCGTTCCCGGGGTGCCCCCTGACTCAGTGGGTGCCCGCAGTGGGGTTCCTGGTGTGCCCGGGGGCGCTGGGGGGGTCCCCCCCGTGCCAGGAGCTGTGGCGCCGGGCCCTGCAGGGCTCCCTCTTCGTCACCCTGGTGCGGGACGAGGCCCTGCCCGTGCACAAGGTCACNGGGTCCCCAACCTCCCAACCCACCTGGGCACAGGGACCCCAAAACCCCCCAAACCCACCTGGGCATGGGGTCCCCAACCTCCCAACCCACCTGGGCACAGGGACCCCAAAACCCCCCAAACCCACCTGGGCATGGGGTCCCCAAACCCCTCCTGGGCACGGGGACTCCAAACCCCCAACCCACCCGAGCATGGGGGCCCCAAATCCCCCGTGGGCACAGGAACCCCAAAGCCCCCCCCCCCCAGCCGGGCATGGGGTCCCCAAACCCCTCCTGGGCACGGGAACTCCTCCAGGGCACCCTGACCCTCCCCGTCTGGGGGTGCCCCCTCCCCACTCCGAGGTGCCCCTTCCCCATATTGAGGTGCCCCCTCCCCATCCGGGGTTGCCCCTCCCATCCCGGGGTGCCCCTTCCCCTCCCCAGGGTGCCCCCTCCCCGTTTTGGGGGTGCCCCTGTTCCCATACCCACCCCTGACTCAGTGGGTGCCCACAGTGGGGCTCCTGGGGTACCCTCTGCCCATTTTGGGGGTGCCCCTGTTCCCGGGATGCCCCCTCCCCGTTTTGGGGGTTCCCCTGTTCCCATGCCCACAGGGGGGTTCCTGCTGTGCCCCCTCCCCGTTTTGGGGGTGCCCCGTTCCTGGGGTGCCCCCTGACGCGGCGGGGTGCCCGCAGTGGGGTTCCTGGTGTGCCCCCTCCCCGTTTCGGGGGTTCCCTGTCCCCATGCCCCCCCCTGACACGGCGGGGTGCCCGCAGTGGGGTTCCCGGTGTGCCCCCTCCCCGTTTTGGGGGTGCCCCATCCCTGTGGCCCCCCTGACGCGGCGGGGTGCCCGCAGTGGGGTTCCTGGTGTGCCCCCTCCCCGTTTTGGGGGTGCCCCTGTTCCCGTGCCCACCCCTGACACGGCGGGGTGCCCGCAGTGGGGTTCCTGGTGTGCCCCCTCCCCGTTTTGGGGGTGCCCCTGTTCCCGTGCCCACCCCTGACACGGCGGGGTGCCCGCAGTGGGGT